CGCTTCCGCTTGTCCCCAACTTGCAACCACTTGTTACCAACTTTGCTTTGTTCCTCGACGACACTTCCACTTGACCCCAACCTGCAACCACTTGCTACCAACCTTTGGCATGTTCCTCGACTACATTTCTGCTTCATTCCAACCTGAAACCATTTGTTACCAATCTTTGACTTGTTCCTCAACTACGCTTCTGCTTGGTCCCAATCTGCATCCACTTGTTACCAATCTTTGGTTTGTTTACCTGTGAACAACGGTTAGTGCTTAGACCGCGCACCTTGGGTGAGCCCGCTTGGTCTGCCAGGGTGACCTGTCTCTGTACTTACCCTGATGGCCTCTCTACTGCTATAGCCACTAGTCTCTTAGCCTGACCCCTGACCGTAACGGGCTCATTCAGGGTCGACTGGGAGAAGTAAACATAAACAAATTGTAGGCAGTGGCGGCATTCAGGTCTAGAATGACTTTGGCTTGCAATTATTTAGCATGACCAAAGGTCAAAATTATTTGGTGCCACCGCCGCTGCCCAGCAAATTACTTGCTTGGGGGAGAAGTAAACATAAACAAAGTTTAGGTAGCGGCGGTGGTGCAGGTGCAGAATGACCTTGACCTTCAGCCTTGCAGACTGACTAAAAGCTGAGGTCTTTTTTGCGCACCTAGTGAATAACTCACTACTTTATTAAGAACAATTTAAGAACATAAAGTTTGACATATACATATAAAAACCGAAGTATACAAAATACCATCTACTGGACTGGCATGTCAGCTAGCCTATTCAAAAAAATGCGCAATGTAGAGATATATACAATTAAATGCGCAGGCGTGCTTGTCCACATCCAGACACGTCAATGCGTTTCGCATGTAAATAGCTTCTTCAGGGCACTGAGGGTATATGCACTAAATATAAATAAAAAAACAAACACTATATTAATACTATATACATGATGAATCAAAACAGTTCATACAGGAAGTATTTCTACACATCAGAGTATGCGTCTATATACATTATATTGCCAGAAGTATTGGGCCGCCTGCCTTTCCATGGCCCCCCAGTCTTAGTCCGTAGGGTTCAATATTGAGTTGGCCCCGCCCTTTGCAGCTATAACAGCTTCACCTCTTCTGGGAAGGCCGTCCACAAGGTTTAGGAGGGTGTCTATGGGAAGGTTGGACCATTCTTCCAGAAGCACATTTGTCAGGTCAGGCACTGATATCGGGGGAGGAGGCCTGGCTCGCAGTCTCCGCTCTAATTCATCCCAAAGGTGTTCTATGGGGTTGAGGTCAGGACTCTGTGCAGGCCAGTCAAGTTCCTCCACCACAAGCTCGCATTTTACCTTTACTGGTAGGCATGAGTCCTCTGTAGTTTGCAATTCATGTAGGGGAGCACTTTGGTCATTTTACCTTGAGTGCTGACGGACCTTGCCCTTGCACTGGTAGCCATGCAAAAGCAGCCATGGCACATTTTAGTGCACTTTAGGGTCACATTTTTTTGATCCGGTTGTGTGGATAATGAAGTGATGGGATTGCAATATATGGAGTCCTCTGTAGTTTGCAGTTCATGTTGGGGGTGCAATTTGGCCTTTCACCTTGTGTGCTAAAGGACCTTGTCCCTGCACTGGTAGGCATGCAGAAGCAGCCCTCTTATAGAGTCCTCTGTAGTTTGCAGTTCATGTAGGGGGTGCAGTTTGGCCTTTCACCTTGTGTGTTAAAGGACCTTGTCCCTGCACTGGTAGGCATGCAGAAGTAGCCCTCTTATAGAGTCCTCTGTAGTTTGCAGTTCATGTAGGGGGTACAGTTTGGCCTTTCACCTTGTGTGCTAAAGGACCTTGTCATTGCATTGGTAGGCATGCAGAAGCAGCCCTCTTATAGACTCATCTATAGTTTGCAGTTCATGTAGGGGGTGCAGCTTGGCCTTTTACCTTGTGTGCTAAAGGACCTTGTCCCTGCACTGGTAGGCATGCAGAAGCAGCCCTCTTATAGAGTCCTCTATAGTTTTCAGTTCATGTTGGGGGTGCAATTTGGCCTTTCACCTTGTGTGCTAAAGGACCTTGTCCCTCCACTGGTAGGCATGCAAAAGCAACCCTCTTATAGAGTCCTCTGTAGTTTGCAGTTCATGTTGGGGGTGCAATTTGGCCTTTCACCTTGTGTGCTAAAGGACCTTGTCCCTGCACTGGTAGGCATGCAGAAGCAGCCCTCTTATAGAGTCCTCTATAGTTTTCAGTTCATGTTGGGGGTGCAATTTGGCCTTTCACCCTGTGTGCTAAAGGACCTTGTCCCTGCACTGGTAGGCATGCAAAAGCAGCCCTCTTATAGAGTCCTCTGTAGTTTGCAGTTCATGTTGGGGGTGCAATTTGACCTTTCACCTTGTGTGCTGAAGGACCTTGTCCCTGCACTGGTAGGCATCCAAAAGCAGCCCTTACACCGTTTTAGGCTTGCATTTGTCTGATCCAGTTCAGTGAATAATGCAATTTTGGGATTGCAGCTTACAGGCCCTCTGTGACGATGCAAGAAGCGACTAACCCAAGCAGACCGTCTGAGCTCTGCAGCAACGTCCCTGATTATTTTAACATGTTGGCAGCCTTGTCTCCAAATCCAGCAGCAAGCCAGCCTGTGAATACTTGGTAGCAGTGCGCCCCCTATCTGCCACAGAGAGACTCTGCCTGCATCCTCCTCCAGCATCAGCATCTGCTGTGCTGTCTGTAGCATCCTCTCTGTGACTCTGCATCCACTGAAGAGCCCAAAATCCAAATCCAGGGACAGAAAGAGGGGGGACCCCGTGTAGGAAGCCTTGTGTATTGAGTTCAATGATCAGGCCATGTAAACTCTACAGAGGAACAGGTTGATCTGCTATCCCCCCCTTACCCCCCCATTACTGCTGGCTCCAGCGCCATCCAGCAAGCCTGTTCCATCTCACTGCATAGGGCAGGGGAGGGGGTGTAGAGGGGAAAGCTGGCTACAGCGCTGACTGCTAACTTTGCAGAAAGGAGGGAAGCTGCGACTGCAAGCCACCGTCTTCCTGAAATAGAACAAATAAAAGCAGCCCTGCCAGCAGACTGGACCTGGAAGGATGCTAGCCCCGGCCCCTGTCGTCCCCTGCAAATCTTGGAGCCCTCTCTCTCTCTCGCAGACACCAATGCAATCCTGGTCTATCTTCAGACTGCATGGCAGAGCTGAAAGGTGAGCAATCTCTTCTGTCTGCTGCTGACACACTTCTAAGGGTACCTGCCCACCCCCCCAAAAAAAAAAAATCCTCCACCTGTCCTTATCGTTGTCTTGAGCCAGCTGCAGAAAATCTCTCCTTCAAGCCCCCCGATTCAGTGCAGCAGGCTTTGGGGTGCAAAAATGAAGTCATAGCCAATACGATGAGTAGACCCCTTCCCAACTTCATTATTCCACTGCCGTCAGACCGGGACCTAATTATCGCCTGTATTATTCGTACAGGTAGGTTACCGCGTAGAACTTTCGCCTATTTTTTTGCTTCATGTTGCAACCTAGCAGGGTACCGGTGAGATCAGCACACAGGTTGCATGTGCAATAAGAGCCTCTTTGCACCCCCCCCCCCCCCAAAAAAAAAAATCATGAAGTAGTCTCTGTCGCATTTTGCAAATGTAAAGAAGGGAGCTTATTTATGTTGCATCTCATTTTTTTCTTTTAAGGGGGGGTTCTGTTTTGAAAATAGCCCCCTCCCCCCCCCCATCAAAGGGCTAAGCGAGCCAATGATTTTTGTTTCAATGCAATCACTTTTAAACGACACGCACTTGCTTGCAGGGTGATGTGCTTTTGTTGCCTCCCAACAAAGCCATTAGTTGGGTTTCGTAGACTCGAAAAGAAAGGCTTTTATTTTTTATTTTTTTTGTAATCCCCCCATTGTTGCCTGAAATGCATTCAACCCGTGCATTGATTTAGGAGCCCCATGTCATCTAAAGGATTGCATAATAGTCTCTATAGTGCCCCCCTCCCTTTTAAAAAAAGGAGAGAGGGGTTGTGGATTGACCTGCATTATACCATCTTCAAACCAAGAGGTGGATGGTGGGGATCTTGTTAAAGTCTGGCCCTGCAGGGTTAAACATACGTGCCCTCTCAATCCCTCCCCTCCTCCTTCTCCCAATGAAGTGGGGGACCGAGAAGACACATGAACTGGGCACAGATGAGCATTTTTTTTTTTCCTGTTTCTTTTTTTGGTTCATAAAGTGGAGGCTCGTTTTAAGCTCACTTTGATTATTTAAAAGAAGCCCCAATGACTTGTAGATCATCGGTTGAAGGGGGGGGTTGCCTGTTTTTTCCAAGCTGGATGAAATCCTGAAATCTTTCAGAATGTCGTTTCTTTAGGTTGATCGTCCTTGTGGATTTATCTTTTTTTTTTTTTTGTGGATTGCAAAAAAAAAAAAAAAAAAATTACTTTGGTTTGATTTCAGGTCTGCCCATTTTGTCGCCCGGGACCCAAGCAGGAGAAGGTGTAGGAGGGTATATCGGATAAACCAAAATATCACCTCTTTCTCTACAAGGAAAGATCCTGGTCAAAAAAAAAAAAAACAGCAAGAGATCGACTGATTCACTGATGTGGAGTGACATGAAGCCCGCTTGTTGACTCAGTAGGTCTTCTGTACTGCAAGGCTCAATCTTGAAATGGGTTTTTTTTTTTTCGATGGTGCATCTTGTCCTTCGGGCTTTTGGATAGCCAACCAAAAAAAAAAAAAACAAATCTAGAAATTTGGAGATTTTTTTTTTTAGGATTGGGTTCTTGCTCGGGGATCCCAAGCTGATGTAGAAGGAGACCCTACCAGCTTCAATGTGGATGTTATAACTGGTTTTCTAAAAAGGGATCACATTGGGGGTGATCTGCATTTCGTAAAGGTGGGGGGAATATTACCTTTACCTCTATCTGCACCTTCTGCATTTTCTCTCCACCTTGACCATGGGATTGAAATTCTCCTAGTTGGCTCCTGGAATTCACCTGTGAAATTCGCCTGTTTGCTCTTTTTATTTTTTTTTTTTTGCCATAAACTGACATGTATGAGATGGAAAAACAAGGTTTATTTAGTGCCCTTTGTTACTTGATGCTGAATTCCCCTCTTCTATTTAGTGTACACGGTAAGTACCAACACTACATTGTCTAATATAGACCTTACAAGATGTTTCCAGTCAGTGTGTTCTGATGTAATCGCCCCCCAGATCTCCCCCGTTCCTTTGTCGGGTCCTGCAGCATTTTTAGGGGCATTCGGCATTACAGGTGCAGATTTAAATCTCTCTCTCTCTTTGCATTAGGAGGAAAAGAATTAGAATTTCAAATGAGAGTTTTGAGCAACGTAGAGAACAATATAACATCTGCACAGGAAGCGTGCGGTAAAATCTGCTTGAAATGTATACATGAGCACTGGTTATATTCCAAAGATGATAGATGGAGAAGGAGAGAGGTGGCTACTGGTAGAATATTTGGGATTTAGAGGGAGGTTCCTTAGGCAGACAAGCACAGTTTTTGGGGATAGATCGGTGTTTAATGCTTGCTTGCATGGACAGACGGGGTTGTATTCTTAGAGTGGTGTGTTTAAAACAAATGGTGCAATGTGCCTATGACCGATAGAGTAGGACCATGTTGGTGGAGGTACCTTCATAGTGGTGTGTGGCTTCAAATTGTGTATGCAATGGAGACTCTTTGATCTAAAAAGTGTTTGTTTTTTTTAAATGAGGTTCTTATGGCAGGTTGGCAGCAGTGGGAATGGAGAACCCAATTTTGGTACTTTCTGAGGGTCCCAATATTAAGAAGGGGTATTTGCTCCTATCTTAGGCAGGAATATTATCTTCTATAGACCAATGGAGTAGGATGCCATTGCTTGACTTTTTAATCCACTAGAGTCTAATTTAACCAAACGCTGCAGACCCAGGGGTAAAACCTGATCAGATTAAGGCAGAGCGGTCTAATCTTGTCTATTAATCTGTGCTGTTAACCACCACCATGTAATTCTATCTCCCACTCTCAGCGACGTTTACTGAAGTCCCCAAAGATGTGACAGTGAGGGAGGGAGAGGATATAGAGATGCCTTGTGCTTTTCGGGCCAGTGGATCCACGTCCTTTTCTTTGGAGATCCAATGGTGGTACCTCAAAGAGGCGACCAGGGAGACAACATTGGAACTAGCTATGACCGCCCCCGGGAGCAGAAGCAAGGTAATGACTACTGTGTCCATGAAACGTTATGCTATGTACAGTGAGATGCTTGATTGACAGGCGCCCCTGCATTCTATCGGCCGCTCATGGCCACTCTTGTGCTTAGCCAATAGCAATTGAGTTCAAACTTAGCAATGAGTCACCAGCAGACATCAGGACACAATCAAAAGGTTTTAGTCCTCCCGGAATGGAGGGAGGGGGGTTTGCATTAAATCTCCCCATAAATTGAGGCTCTAATGAGGCCGTGAAAAGAGCAGTGGTGATGTGCCAAAGACAGTAAACCACAAGCCAATAGGGTTTCAGCTTTCACCAGTTAGGACCACAAAGCTGATTGTTGATTGGTGGTTATGGGTTATCGTAAATTAAATATTGCCTTGTAACAGACATCAAACAATTTTGGTTCTCTTGGAGTGGAGGGAGGAGGTTGCATTGAAGAGACTGTGCAAAGAGCAGTGGTGATGTACCAAGGACAGCAATCCCACAGCAGCCAATGGGATTTCAGCTTTCACCAAGTAGGGCCACAGTACGAATTGTTGATTGGCTGCTATGTGCTTTAACACAAATGCTGCTTGGTAACAGTAATCACAATCAAAATGTTTTAGTCCTCCTGGAATGTAGGGACAGGGTTGCCTTAAACCCCCCTAAAAATTGAAGTTCAGACCATGCACAGAGCAGTAATGATGTACCTAAGCCTGTAATCAGCCAATGGGATTTCAGCTTTTGCCAGTTAGAGTCATGAAGCTAATTGCTGATTGGCTGCTATGAACAGATTTGGAGATTGGTTTAGCTTGATAGAAGATTTGAGTCCAACAACCAACAGAATGTAGCATCCCTCAGCAACCAATCAAATTTTAGTTTTTATTAGTTCACATTACCTGGATCAGGCAAACAGGGAGGATAATGTGATGTGCAGGGCAACCAATTATAACGTTGGATCACTGAGGAGCTAATTGTGACTGGTCGGTTGGTTGGGTGGCTGGTTGGCTGGTTGGTTTGTTGGTTGGTTGGTTGGTTGGCTGGTTGGTTGGTTGGCTGGCTGGTTGGTTTGTTGGTTTGTTGGTTGGTTGGTTGGTTGGTTGGGTGGCTGGTTGGTTTGGTTGGTTGGTGGGTTGGGTGACTGGTTGGTTGGTTGGTTGGTTGGTTTTGGTTGGGCTGGTTGGTTGGTCAGTCGATCGGTCAGCTGGTTGGTGGAGATCTCGGCATGCTACATGTTTTATTCTCATGTTAAAGTAGAGTATACATTGTATGTCCTCTATATCCCCCCCTGCCCCCATTCTTAAAATCTAAATCAATTCCATAAATTCTTCCCCCATACTTCCCTAGGCCAGCCTCCCAGTTTTGCAATTAGTTATTTAAATAGACGTAAATAGATATTGACAAGCAGGATTACTGAGCTCAATGGATGCCAGGCAGGGCAGCCGCATGAGCACAGCGGCGGCTTTCCTCTGCTCCCTCCCCCCCGGCTGCCAAAATCCATCGCACAGGATGAGTCGCTCCGCTGAGCTTCCCTCGCTGTAAATGGACAATTTGCTATTTTGGAGATGGAAGTCAATTGACCCCTTTTTTAATACGGGACAGTACTCCGCCACGGCAATAATTCAAGTTTATGTAATTTGGCTCGTCTTCCCAGAAGGATCAGCTGGCCAAGTAATTTCAGCAGCTGCTGCTGCACATACAGTATATATATATATAAATCCATACACATATTACTATATTGTACATTACATGATTTTCAGTGTAATTCTGGGAATCCAGTGGTGGCCTGTCAGTTCCATAATAATCCCCTGAACATTATCTTGCCAGCAGAGAGTGAATGGACTAATTAATATACATGTTAATATGAAGTTTGAAATATGTTCCCCAGGCTTCCTCACTCCTAATGAACATTCTGATCCATCTCTGTCATAACCACGGGCACAGCCACAAATCTTCTCACTGCCTGTTCATTCTTCCTTCCCTGCTACTTCTACATTTCATGTCTGCCCTCCCCTTCTCCATCCTCTCCTATCTCTGCCCCTCTTCATACCCCCCCCCCCCATAATCCTCCCCCCATCTCTAGCTCCCTACCCTTCCTGTCTTTTTCAGTATTGCCCCCAATCTCTATTGACTCACCCCCCTCTCCTCTCTCTTTATCACCCCCATCTTCTTACCCCCTTATCACACACAGACTGTATCTCATCTGTCCTCCTTGAACCACTTATTTTTGTCGCCCCCCCCCCCCCCCCCTACTTATCTATCCTTCCTCTCTCTGCAAACCCCTCTATTTCATTCTCCCTTTCCTCTCTTTTCCTCTTTTTTAACCCCATTCTTTACCATACTCCATTTTTCCCTTCCTCCTAATACCTCTCTCTAGCTTTCTTTACCCCCCTCATCACCCCCTTTCCATTACTCCCTATTTTCTGTTTCCTTCTTCCCCCTACTTCTCTTCCATCCCTCCCTCTTTCACCATTCTCCACTAGGATTCTCTGTTTTTCGATACTTGCACTCCTTCCTCTCCTCCCTTCTATTTCCATTATCTCTTCTTTTCTGTGTCTACTCATAGTCTCCCTCTTTTCTCCTCCATGTCTCTCTTCCTCCCTCTCCTTCTTCCCTCTTTCTCTTTCTTAATCCCCCTTCCAGCTCTTCCATCCCTCTCTTCTCATTTATGTCCCTCTCCCTCCCTCTCCTTCTTCCTTTCTCTCCCTCTTTACTCTTTCATTCTTCTCCCTCCATTCCTTTCTTCTCCGCTATGTCCCTCTCCATCCCTCCTCTTCTTCCTTTCTTTTTTCTTTCATTTTCTCCCCTCCATTCCTCTTTTCTCCTCTATGTCCCTCTTTTTCTAATACCTCTCTTCTTACCTCTCTTCTCTTTCATTTTCCCTGACCATCTCCTCCATTCTTCTCTTTCTCTTCCATGTCTCCTCCTCCCTCTCCCTTCTTTCCTCTTTTCTCTTTTATGCTCCTCATTCACTTTTTTTGTCCTCTGTCTTTCTTTTCCCTCCCTTCATATCTTCCCTCTTCCCAACAACCCCCCCCCCCCCATCTGCTCTCTTCTCCTCTATATCTTTTCCTTCTCTCTTTCTGCACTCTTTTCTCTATCATTCTCCCCCCTCCATCCCCCTCATCTCCCCCATCTCTTCTGTGTCTCTCTCCCTCTCTCCATTCTCCATTTCCCTCTTTGCTCTTTTCCCCCCCCCCCCCCCCCCCACAAATCCCTCTATGTCTCTCCTTCTCTCCATCTCCTCTATGTTCCTCTCCCTCCTTTCATTCTCCCCCCTCCATACACCCCCCCCTCCATCCCTTTCTTTTTTTCCTCTAGGTCTCCCCTCCCTCATATTTTTATTTTTTCTTCTCTCTCCCCTCCATCCTCTCCATTCTCCTCCATCTATCTCCACCTCTTCCATCTTCTATTCTCTCCCTCCTTTCATTTCCCCCACCCCCACCCCCTCCATCTTTTTTCCTCTAGGTCTCTCCTTTTATTTCTCTTTTCATTCTCTTCCCTCCATTCTCCTCCATCCTCTCTCATCTCCTCCATCCCTCTCCATCTCCCCCATCTCTCTCCACCTCCTCCATCTCCTCTATGTCTCTCTCCCTTCTTTCATTTCTCCCCCCTCCATCCCTTTTTTTTTTCCCTAGGTCTCTCCTCCTCTTATTTCTCTTTCATTCTCTCCCCTCCATCCTCTCCATCTCCTCCATTTATCTCCACTCTCTTCCATCTCCTCTATGTCTCTCCCTCCTTTTTCCCCCCCCCCCCCCCCCCTCTTCCATTCTTCTTCCCCCCCCCCCCCCCATCCATTTTTTTTTCCTCTAAGTCTCTCCTTCTCTTATTTATCTTTCATTCTCCTCCCCTTCCATCCCTCTCATCCCCCTCATCCCTCTCCATCTCCCCCATCTCTTCTATTTTCTCTCCCTCCTTTAATTCTCCCCCCTCCATTCACCTCCTTCCATCTCTTTCTTTTTTATCTCTAGGTCTCTCCTCATCTTTTTTCTTCTTTTTCATTCTCTCCCCTCCTTCCCTCTCCATCTCCTCCGTCTATCATCCATCTCTTCCATCTCCTCTATGTCTCTCTCCCAATCCTTTCTTTTTCTTCCCCTCCATTCACCCCCCCCCCCCCCTCTCATCTCATCCATCCTTTTCCATCTCCCCCATCCCTCTCCACCTCCTCCATCTCCTCTATGTCTCTCTCCCTCCTTTCATTCTCCTCCCTCCATCCCTTTCTTTTCCTCTAGGTCTCTCCTCTCCTCCTCTTATTTCTCTTTTATTCTCTTCCCCTCCATCCCTCTCCATCTTCTTCATCCCTCTCCATTTCCCCCATCCCTCTCCATCTCCTCTATGTTTCTCTCCCTCCTTTCATGTCCTTCAATGGCTTTTCTCCGGCAGTCATTCACATTTCTTTCCTCCCTTGTAGATTGTAAGCTCTTGCAGTTATTTTTTTTTCCCTCTCATTCATGCATTTGCACATCCTGTAGACACATTCCTCATTTTCCCCAGCACTGTAGAATCTTCCAGCTCTCCAGTGTTCTATTGACGCTCTCATTTCTCCGCGTCTTTGTCACCCACACAATCGCAATCTTTATTAGGAGATCCTAGCGCGGTCAGATAGAGCCTGAGCCAACGTCTGCCCCTCTCCTCTACTAGACGTTGTGCTCAGGATGGATGGAATCAGAAGACAATATCGAAGAAAGGTGAAACCCTTTCCTCTTGGAGTACCAAGTCATATATAATTTTTTGAGCTGTGTGGGCGGACGGCTTGGAGACGGTGCGGCTGTGCGTTGATATTTATTCCCCGCTACTTGTATTTGTAAACACCTCTCTGGCAGACGTGCACCCTGGGATGCGGAGCTCGATTCACTCTTTCAATACAGTGATTACTGTTATGACAAGTTGGCCCATTTATGTGTTTGAGGATTTCTCGAGGCACGCCACAGGCTTCACATATATGTTTTGTTCCCTGTCCCAATCTGGCACCGGGCAGTCTTGTTATAGCACACTGTGGCCCGCGTCTACAAAACGCTGTAAGT